CGACGTCTTCTGCACCCATGTACACGTCACACTTCAGGCCCAGACGGGCCGCTACCGTTGCCGTGGCAACACCGTGCTGACCAGCACCTGTTTCAGCAATGACCCGTGGCTTGCCCATTCTTTTCGCCAGCAGCGCCTGACCAATCGTATTGCAGATTTTATGTGCCCCGGTGTGATTCAGATCTTCGCGTTTAAGATAGACTTTCGCGCCGCCGAGTTCTGCTGTTAGTCGCTTGGCAAAATACAATGGGGTTGGACGCCCAACGTAATCAGTAAGGTCTTCGTGAAGTTCCTGCTGGAATTCCGGATCATGGCGGACCTGCTCGTACAGCTCGGCGAGCTGATCGAGGGCATGGGTTAACGTTTCGGCGACGTAACGTCCACCGTATTCGCCAAATAAGCCGTTGTCACCAGGCTGAGCATAATTACTGCCTTTACTTGCCACTGACACTTCGTACCTCCTGAATAAAATCGAAAATTTTCTGTCGGTCTTTTTGACCCCGGGTCTCCCCTTCCACTCCACCACTGACATCGACCCCGAAAGGCGCAAGCTGTTCTATACCCGCAGCCACATTCATTGGTGTCAAACCGCCGGCTAGCACCCAACGTGAATCTGTGGTTTTAGGCCATCTTTTCCAATCAAATGTCGAGCCGGTGCCACCGGGTTGACCATCGACAAAGGTATCCAACATGAGTGCCCACGCTGTTGTGTAGCGCTTGGCTTCGGCCTCAAGGTCTATACCAGCGCGCATACGCAATACCTTCATGTAAGGCAGGCCAAACTGTTCGCAAAATACCGCATCTTCATTGCCATGAAACTGCAGCAGGTCGATTTCTGCAGTATCAATAATTTTTCTAACCTGTGTAGCACTTGCGTCAACGAACAACGCCACCGAGGTGAGCGAGTTAGCACGACTCAATTTGGCTATGGTTTTACTATCAACAAAGCGAGTGCTGCGCGCATAGCAGTTAAAGCCAATTGCATCGGCCCCGGCTTCTTCGCACGTGCGCACATCTTCAATACGTGTAATCCCACAGATCTTGCACCATGTATCGTCAGGAATGGAAATAGGCATTTTGATTCCGTCACCCGAATAGGGAGACTCTAGTGGAGAACGCTAACTCAGCGGGCTAGTCTAGCGGTTGCCAGGTCGGCTTTAAAGTCACTTCTAGGTGCTTAAAAAAGAAATTTTCGCTGCCGGTGGAAGATCGTAACCTGGATAGGATACGGCAGTCAGGTAGAGGCCGGATGGCGGTGCTGTGGCACCAACAACAGATCTGTCTTTAAGGGCCAGCCAGTCTGCAGGACTGTTCGGCGTAACGGCATTACCAGTATGGCGTGCGGCGCCCACATCGTGCAGAGCACGCGCAATATTGCGTACCATATGCAGAAGGAACGCGTTGGCTTCAATGTCCAGCAGCACAAATTCTCCCTGGCGTCTCACCTGTAACAGGTTGACCCGCCGCAGGGGTGTGATCGATTGACAGCCCGAGCCGCGAAAACTGGTGAAGTCATGTTCTCCAATCAGACGCTGCCCGGCGCGGTGCATGGCATCCGCGTCAAGGGGCCCGCATCCCCAAACCTGACCTTGCAGGTGTGGATGCGAATAGCCGACATCATGATAAACATAAACGTAGCGACGTGCTGTTGCACTGTACCGAGGGTGAAATGCCTTCTTGGCAACCTGTATCCAATCGATGTGAATACTGTCGGAGGTGAGTGCGTTCAAACCACGATGCCAGTCGTGAAGCGAGCGTTGTGTTGCAGTGGAAAAGGCAGCAACCTGGCCCGTTGCGTGTACGCCGGCATCCGTTCTGCCGGCCACGCTGAGAGTGACAGAATCGTTAGCAATACGCCGCAAAGCGGCTTCGATTTCACCCTGGACGGTATTTTGCTGCACCTGCCGCTGCCAGCCGCGATAAGGGGCGCCATTGTAGGTGACGCCAATGACATAGGAGGTCACGATGACTGCCTGAATATCAGCCGCTAGCAGGCCATCCTCAGCCTTTCATCTTGTCCAGCATGGACTGAGCTTTCTGCTGTTGTTCAGAGCTGCCCTCTTCGATCACTTCTTTGAGGATATCCTGCGCGCCGTCTTCATCACCCATATCGATATAGGCCTCAGCAAGGTCAAGCTTGGTAGCGTTGATATCACCCTCTTCTGGATTGTCGAATTCGAAGTCATCGCCTGTATCCGGCGTTTCACTTGTAAAATCCAGCTCTGGCTCATTCTCGGTTTCCTGGTCGTCCAGATCCAGTTCCAGTTCAACAGCGTCATCGGCTGAAGTAGCTACAGCTTCGTCTAGTGGCGTACGATCTGGGTCAAAATCAATGCCCAGGTCTCCTCCCAGTTCGTCACCAGCCCCTTTGTCGTCATCGGTTGTATCGTTCGTGATGACGTCGTCGGTATCATCAAATTCAAGTTCGAATTCTATGTCTGGATTTTCTTCAGCGGTGTCCGCGTCGTCGAGCATGTCGTCTGATTCGGTTTGCGCCGACAGGTCAGTTAACGGGTCTTGGGCTGATGATGACGTTTCCGAGCTGTCAAGCTCGTCAAGATCAAGTTCCAGAACGTCATCGTCGCTGGAATTTTGAGCGTCTTCAGCAGCATCGTCGTCGCTGAGATTAACGATACTGCTGTCAAACTGCGCTTCAAGGTCGCGACAGGCCATCAGGACTTCTTCATCGTCACAATGGTCAAGGATGTATTGCGCCTGTTCAGAGAAGGCTGCTTCATCGGAAGATTCAACAAACACTTCAAGCAGTTTCAGCCTGACATCCCAACGTTCTGGTTCGCTGTTCAACACGCTGGTAAGCAAATTTGCTGCCTGACCATAACGGCCGTAGGCAATGTATATTTCTGCTTCGCCGATGGCATCTCCAGTTTTTCCGGCTTCGTTCTGGGTACTGTCTGCTGAGGGCTGCGTTGCAGCGGCGTCGCTGTCGGACTGTTCCTCGTCGAGCGCCAGATGATCCAGCTCCTCAACGTCTTCAACATCATCCAGATCGCCAATAAATGGTTCGACTGCACCGCTGGCCGCGTTGTCTTCGGCCTCTTCTTCGTAGTCGCTGGACTGCTCTTCTTCTACTTCAACTGCTGCGCTCTGGTCGTCTACGGGCTCGTCGAAGAACTCATTTTCGAATGCTTCCTGCTCCGCGCGTGCGCTGCGCAGGCGAATGAGGACAACAACAAGAAACAATATCAAAAGCACAATGACACCAAACAACACCATAGGTGACATCCACCAGGGCGTATCGGGGCTGCTTGTGTTGGGACTTTGATTTTGTTTCTGGGGCGCTTGAGCCGCTTGTTCTTCCAGTTCGCGCAGGCGCTCTGCCATGGCGGCCAGTTCCTGGTTTTTGACTTCAAGCTGTCGATCTCTCACGGTGACTTCATTCGCAGCGATTTCTTTTTCGCGATCTAACTGGTAAGTGAGTTCGTCGACCTGACGGCTCAAGGTCTCTTTTTCGCCGATCAGGACATTCACGCTTGGGTCTTCGCCACTGGCGGTGCCGCTTGCCAGTTCACCACTGCTTGCCAGGATACGCACCTGGCCCTGCCCCTGATCTGCGACCGTATTATTCTGAGCGGTTGTCTGGGTTGCATCGACGGCTGAACGCAGTTGTGGCTGCTGATCCTCTAACGGCGTTGCTGCAGGTGTGTTGCTGGCCAGTTGTTCGTTGTCATCACCGGAACGCCAGGCCTGAGTTTGCGCGGCCACTTCCTGAGTCGCAGCCGCGGTATTTACGCCCAGGGCTTCATCTTCACTGGGTATATCCAGCACATAGCCGGCTTTCAGTAAGTTGATATTGCCACGCATGAACGCTTGCGGATTTTTACGCTGAATAGCCAGCATCTGTTGATTCACACTGACCCGGTCTGAAGGCAGCGTCCGTGAGGCTATTTTCCACAACGTGTCGTCGCGTGTCGTCATCAAGCCATCCACCGGAGCGCGTGGCGCGGGCGGACGACTGCTGCGTGGTTGCAGATCTACGCGAGTCCCTGCGCTGGCAGGTTGTTGTGCAGGCTGCTGGGCAACGCTAGGCGCTGCTTGTGACGGCGTCTGCACAGTTGGGGCTGCTGCCTGGCTGAACGTCGGTGGATCTAAAAGAACAGTATATTCTTTCAGCAGACGACCGCGAGGCCAGAGCACTTCAACGATAAAATTGAGATAAGGTTCCGCAATTGGCTGCGTGCTGGATACCTTGACGATCGCTGTACCATTTTCGTTTTCGACATTGAATTTCAGATTCGTGAGATAGAAAAATCGTTCAACACCAACACGATCGAAATCCTCTCGTGACGCCATCGACACAACGATTTCCGAAGGTTGTAAACCTTGCGCATCGAGCAGTTCAATGGTGCCAACAAAGCGTTCATTCAACGCCGAAGACACATCAAGTTCGTCAAGACCAAGCGCCCAGGTATGAACCGGTGCGGCCAAACTGGTTGCCAAAAGCGCCATCAAAAGCCATTGGCACTTGCGCGTAAGCATAGGCAAGACCCTCCTTCGCAGAATTGATTGTGGAAAGTTGTCCCCTGAACCGAGGGTGTGGGCCAAAGCTTGTGTGTCCAAATCCATGTGTCCGTTTCTGTCGTTCTGTCTATACAAAACATGTGAGTTCACACGCTCTGTTTCCTTAAGCCGCACGTATTGTGCAAGCAACTTTCACTCTATTACGTTCTCGTTCTATAACGTTCTCGTTCTATAACGTTCTCGTTCTATAACGTTCTCGTTCTATGACGTTCTCGTTCGCCATCCGCCCAGCGGTGCCATCGGCTCATAAAACGCAAAGCACACGGCATTGCGCTCACTGGGTACGTTACCCCAGATGTTAGCTGCTTAGGCGGGCACATGTACCACTTTCAGCATGACAAACAACAAAAACCTGAACGTTCGGCAGTTTAATTGCGCAGATTGCACATGCCTCCAGACAACAAACCTGTTAGCCAGTGCAAAGCGTGGCGCCATGTCTTATTGCAGGGTCTTTTACAAGTTTAGCTGACCTGCAGATGATCGAGCAAAAGCTCAGCAATTTGAACGCTATTCAAGGCAGCACCTTTGCGGACATTGTCTGCAACAATCCAGAGATTAATACCATTGGGGTGCGAAATATCTTCCCGAATACGGCCAACGTAGACCGGATCTTTACCTGCCGCTTCTCCGACCGCTGTGGGATAGCGCTCCCCGGTCATAACTTTTATGCCAGGTGCAGCCTGTAAAATCTCGGTGACCTCTGCAGCGCTGATCTGCGCACGCGTTTCGATATGCACTGCTTCTGAATGACCATAGAAGACCGGGATACGGACACAGGTCGGATTAACCACAATGTCCGGGTCACCGAGAATTTTGTTGGTTTCCCAGACCATCTTCATTTCTTCTTTGGTGTAACCGTTTTCCATGAACACATCGATCTGCGGAATGGCGTTGAACGCAATCTGATGAGGCATGACAACTTTTTCTATCGGTTTGCCATTAAGCAGACTGGCGGTCTGCCCTGCCAGTTCATTGATCCCACCGGCACCTGCCCCCGACACTGCCTGATAAGTACAGACATTGATCCGGCTGATGCCAACTGCATCGTGTATGGGTTTCAGCGCCGTGACCATCTGTATCGTCGAGCAGTTAGGGTTGGCGATGATGTTGGCGTTGATGTAGTCAGCAACGCGTTCAGGGTTAACCTCGGGGACCACAAGTGGAATATCGTCGTCGTAGCGGAAGTGTGACGTGTTATCGATCACCACACAGCCAGCGTCGGCAGCTATTGGCGCGTATTGCGCCGAAACACTGCCGCCGGCTGAAAACAGTGCAATCTGGACCTGGGAGAAATCGAAATCTTCCAGTTTCTGCACCATGACACTCTTGCCATGAAATTGCAGACGTTTGCCAGCCGATCGCTCGCTCGCCAGCAGAAAGAGTTCTGCAACGGGGAATTTGCGGCTCTCCAGAATCTCAATCAGGGCTTCGCCTACAGCTCCAGTAGCACCTGCGATAGCAACGTTAACTGGTTGATATTTAGACATTTATTTTATCCTAGTTGCTCTAGTACGCGTTCGCCCATTTCCTGGGTGCCGATCATTTGGTCCATTTCTTGCGCATTGGCGATATCGCCGGTGCGATAACCCTCAGCCAGTACCGCGGCGACAGCCTGCTCGATACGCTCCGCAGCCAGAGGCTGATCAAGGCTATACCTGAACATCATGGCCACGGACAGAATGGTGGCCAGCGGGTTAGCTTTGTTCTGGCCCGCAATATCCGGCGCGGTGCCGTGTACTGGCTCATACATGCCAACACCGCTGGCAGACAGCGAGGCAGATGGGAGCATGCCCAGAGAGCCCGTAAGCATTGCGGCAACATCCGAGAGGATGTCGCCAAACATGTTGCCGGTGACAATCACATCGAACTGTTTAGGGGCGCGGACCAGCTGCATCGCGGCGTTGTCGACGTACATATGGGACAGCTCAACGTCCGGATAGTCGGCGTGCATGGCGCTCACCACTTCCCGCCATAGCGCAGACACTTCCAGCACATTAGCTTTATCGACAGAACACAGGCGCCCACCACGCTTTTGCGCGAGCTCGAAACCTACCTTGGCAATGCGCTGGATTTCGTGTTCGGCATAAACCAATGTGTTAAAGCCTACCCGTTCGTTATCCCTCTGTTCGACGCCACGGGGTTCGCCAAAGTAGATGCCGCCGGTAAGTTCCCGGATGATCAGGATATCCAGATCCGCAACAAGTTCAGCTTTCAGGGAAGATGCCTGAGCCAGTGGTGCAAATAACAGTGCCGGGCGCAGATTTGCAAACAATCCCAATGCCTGGCGCAGGCCTAACAATCCTTTCTCAGGGCGTTCGGACATGGGTAGATGATCCCATTTGGGGCCACCGACACCACCCAGAAGTACGGCGTCTGCAGCTTTGGCTGCAGCGAGTGTTGCTTCTGGTAGCGGCGAGCCGGTGGCATCAATGGCGACGCCGCCCACCAGGCCTTCACTGATATCCAGAGGGCAATCGACAGCCGCAGCCGCGGCTTGCATCACGGCGATGGCAGGTGCCATGACCTCGGTGCCGATACCGTCACCGGGTAAAACCAGAATTTTTGCTGCAGTCATTATGCGTTTCCTTCTGTCTTGTTATTTGAAGCCGCTTTCTCACCGGAAAAAGCCCGCTCGAACAGCCAGGGCTGCCGTGCGCGATGCCCGATTTCAAATTGCTCGATCAGCTCTCGCTCCGCCAGGGTCATGTCGATGTCGTCCATACCCGAGAGCATCTTGTCTTTGAGGACCGGATCGATTTCGAAGGTAAATGTTTCACCACTCGGCGTAACCACGGTCTGCGTACTCAAATCGATTTTCAGATCGTAGTTGCTTTGGGTTTCCGCGAACAGCTTATCGATAATTTCTGCTTCTAAAACAATGGGTAACAATCCATTCTTAAAGCAGTTACCGTAAAATATATCTGCAAAACTGGGTGCAATGACCGCACGAAAACCAAACTCCTGCAGCGCCCATACCGCGTGTTCACGAGAAGAACCGCAGCCAAAATTGTCTCTCGCCAGCAACACGCTCGCGCCCTGATACGCAGGGGCATTCAGTACAAAATCGTGGTTGATCGCGCGCTCATTGGGTGTCATGCCAATGGTGCCCTCATCAAGGAAACGCCAGCCATCAAACAGATAGTCGCCAAAGCCCGTGCGCTTTATCGATTTCAGATACTGTTTGGGGATGATCTGGTCCGTGTCTACGTTGACCCGATCCAGGGGCGCTACAGCGCCGGTATGTGTTGTAAATGCCAACATTAGAGCCACTCCCGAACGTCTACAAAGTGTCCTGCAATAGCTGCCGCAGCAGCCATCGCGGGGCTGACCAGGTGTGTGCGGCCGCCATGGCCCTGGCGGCCCTCAAAATTCCGGTTTGAGGTGGAGGCGCAGTGCTCACCCGGTGCCAGCCGGTCCGGATTCATACCCAGGCACATGGAGCAACCGGCCGCGCGCCATTGAAAACCTGCATCAATAAAAATCTGTGCAAGTCCTTCAGCTTCAGCCTGCGCTTTGACCAGGCCTGAACCAGGTACAACCAGCGCTTCTTTGACATTGGCGGCCAGTTTTTTACCTTTGACCACGGCAGCTGCGGCACGCAGGTCCTCAATGCGTGCGTTGGTACAGGAACCAATAAAGATGCGGTTTACCTCAATTTCAACAATGGGCTTACCCGGTTGCAGACCCATATAGGTGAATGCATGCCGCGCAGCTTCGCGTTGCACGTCGTTTTCCAGCTCTTCCAGGCTTGGAACGTGGCTATCTATGCCGGTGACCATTTCCGGGGACGTTCCCCAGGAGACCTGGGGTGCGATGTCAGCCGCGTTCAGATGCAGGGTATTATCGAAGTGTGCACCATCGTCACTGACCAGGGACCGCCAGTACGCTTCCGCCTGTGCCCATTGCTCGCCGGTCGGTGCAAAGGGGCGTCCGCGCACGTAGTCGATAGTTGTGTCGTCAACGGCTACCAGGCCAGCCCGGGCGCCTGCTTCAATGGCCATGTTACACAGGGTCATACGCCCTTCCATGGATAAACCGCGTACTGCCTCACCCTGGTATTCGATCGTGTGACCCGTGGCACCGGCTGTGCCGAGCTTACCGATGATGGTTAACACAAGGTCCTTGGCGCTGACGCCAGGGTGCAGTTGCCCATCGACGACCACGGCAAAATTTTTCGCTTTGTTCTGCACCAGGCACTGGGTGGCCATCACGTGTTCTACTTCCGAGGTGCCGATGCCCTGAGCCAGGGCTGCAAACGCGCCGTGTGTAGATGTGTGTGAGTCTCCACAGACAATGGTCATACCTGGCAGAGTTGCCCCCTGCTCCGGGCCAACAACGTGCACGATACCCTGTCGCGGATCATCTATCTCAAACTGGGTGACACCAAACGACTTGCAGTTGTCGTCCAGCGTGACCACCTGTTCCAGCGCAATCAGATCTGTAATGCCTTTAAAGCCCAGAGCCCGATCCGTGGTGGGTACATTGTGGTCCGGCGTTGCCAGATTGGCATCTACACGCCACAGGGGTCTTTTATGCAGGGTAAGACCTTCAAAAGCCTGGGGAGAGGTGACTTCATGCAGCAATTGCAGGTCGATATAGAGCAGATTATTGCCATCTTTGCGCCTGCCAACGCTGTGTGCCTGCCAGATCTTATCGTACAGAGTTTGTGCTGCCATCGCTCGCCTGCCCGTAAAAGTTTGAAGAGAGTGTGTAAAAAAACGCGAGTCTACGAGGGGTGATACGATAAAACAAATTCATTATATTTATGTTTTGGATAAATAAAGGTTATTAATGAATTTTCATGATCTGGCGACGTTTATCACCGTTGCGGAAGAAGCTTCGTTTTCAAACGCCGCCGCAGCACTGCACATCAGCCAACCAGCGGTGAGTAAGAGAATCCAGGCGTTAGAGCAACAGTTTGGTGCGCGTCTGTTTGATCGTGTTGGCAAACAGGTTCATTTGACACAAGCCGGCGCAGCGCTGATGCCCCAGGCGCGCCTGATGCTGGCAACGCTGGCAGACACCGAAAAGCAACTGCACAATCTTGCGCAAAACGTGGCTGGCAGTTTGACCCTGGCGACCTCCCACCACATTGGTCTGCATCGACTTGCACCGGTACTGCGTCGATTTGTCGGTTTATATCCTCAGGTACAGATAAATATCAGTTTTGAAGATTCAGAAGTTGCCTATGATCGCGTTCGTCAGGGCAGCAGTGAAGTGGCGGTGGTTACCCTGAATCCAGAAGGCGAGCGACAGCTGGACACTCAGGTGATCTGGAACGACCCATTGGTTTTTGTCGCGGCTCCGGACAGTCCCAGACCGGTCACCCTGGCCTGGCTTGCGCAACAACCCTGTGTATTACCTGGCGCTGGCACGTTTACTGGTCGTATTGTGTTACAACGTTTTACTGAACAAGGCCTGGTATTAACACCGGCGATGTCGACCAACTATCTGGAAACCATTGGCATGCTGGTCAGCGTCGGTCTGGGCTGGAGCGTGCTGCCGCGCAGCATGGTGGGCGAGTTATCGGTTTTGTCAGTAGATTGTGCACCGATGTCGCGAACCCTGGGGCATGTAACCAATCCAACCCGCACCTTGAGCAATGCTGCAGCCGCGTTTGTTGACGTGTTAACAGGGTTTACTGATTAAGAAAATCACCGTTTGAGTGACTAAACGGTTTTGAACCCACCTATCTGGCCTCGGTGGCGCAGATAATGGTCCATCAGCACGATGGCCATCATGGCCTCGGCTATAGGTGTCGCACGAATGCCCACACAGGGATCGTGACGACCCTTGGTGACAACTTCTACGGGATTGCCACTGGTATCAATTGAACGACCCGGTGTCGTTAGACTGCTGGTTGGTTTCAGCGAGATTTTGCAGATCAGATCCTGTCCGGAGGAAATGCCGCCCAGCACACCGCCAGCGTGGTTGCTGGTGAAACCGTCCGGGGTTATCTCATCGCGGTGTTCAGTGCCGCGTTGCGCCACAACATCGACACCATCACCCATCTGGACTGCCTTTACGGCATTTATGCTCATCAATGCACCAGCCAGGTCCGCATCAAGTTTACCGAATACCGGCTCACCCAGACCAACCGGCACACCGGTGGCGTGCACGCTGACTTCAGCACCCACGGAATCGCCTGAACGGCGCAAGCTGTCAATCAGGGCGGCAATATCATCCAGCACTGCAACGTCAGGGCAGAAGAATGGGTTCTGCTCAATTTGACTGGCGTCTTTCAACTGGATTCTGATGTCACCAATACCAGACAGGAAGCCGAATATTTTTATACCCGCCTGTTGGGCAAGATATTTTTTAGCGATGGCGCCTGCCGCCACGCGCATGGCTGTTTCTCTTGCTGAAGAGCGGCCTCCGCCCCGGTAATCACGAATGCCGTATTTACCATCGTAAGTAAAGTCGGCATGAGCCGGGCGAAAGATATCTTTGATGTTGCTGTAATCTTTGCTTTTCTGGTCTTCATTTTCAATTAACAAGCCAATAGACGTGCCGGTTGTTTTGCCTTCGAAAACGCCTGAAAGTATCTTGACCTGATCAGATTCTTTGCGTTGGGTTGTATATTTGGATTGGCCGGGCCGGCGTCGGTCCAGATCCGGCTGCAGATCCGCCTCGCTCAGTTCCAGTCCTGGAGGACACCCATCAACCACAGCGCCCAGGGCCAGGCCGTGGCTTTCGCCAAATGTGGAGACCGTAAAATGCTGTCCAATACTATTTCCCGCCATGGTGACGCCTTCTAACCCTGCAAGCGGGGCGCAGTATGGGAATTTAGCGCTGCGCCTTCAAGCACAAAAACACCTTCTCCACCCATCGGCAGATCCAGCCAGATAAGCGGCAGGTGTGGATATTTCTGTATTAGCGCTGGTGCGCTGGCGCCTACCTCAGCAACCAGAAGCCCCGTAGTCTTCAGCCACAGCGGCAGTTTTTCAATAATCGCGTCAATGAAAACAAGACCGTCTGCACCGCCGGCCAGCGCCAGTTCCGGCTCAGCTGCATATTCAGCAGGCAGACTCGACATGTCCAGCGCATCAACATAAGGCGGATTGGTGATGATGAGATCAAACTTCTGCATGAACGCCCCCTGCTTGAGGACATCTGCCTCGATGACCTCAATACGTTCAGCCAGGTTATGTTCGGCGACGTTGGTTTTTGTAAGGTGCAATGCTTGAGGGTCCACATCAACGAGTGTCACTTTGGCGTGCGGGAAGATATGTGCTGCAACAATCCCCAGAACGCCACTACCGCAGCACAGATCAAGTATTGATTTGACGGACGAGGGTAGCCAGGGCTGCAGACCATCGCTGAGTAACAGGCCGATCGGGGAGCGTGGCACGATCACGCCCTCCTCTGCTTTAAATGTATAACCTGCGTATTGGGTCTGACCCAATATGTAGGCCAGAGGCACACGCCTATCAATACGTAATTGTGCAACCGCTAAGCAATGGGAAGCCTGTGAAGCCGGCACCTGTGTATTCAGCACAGATTCGTCATCTTGCAGGCCTGTGACCGTCAGCACCAAAGCAACCGCTTCGTCCCAGGCATTGTCTGTACCATGCCCGTAACTCAAGGGGTTGCTTTGAAACAGCCCGTGCACCGCCTCAATCAAGCTTGCGACGGTGTGGTTTTCCACTTACTTATCTGTTCCCAACAATTCAAGTAAGAGACGGTTCAAACGCTCAACGTATGCGCCCGGATCGGTAAGCGCGCCGCCTTCAGCAAGACTGGCCTGATCAAATAGAATGCCAACCAGCTCGGCAAAACGATCTTCATCAGGCTCCTTGTCCAAACGCTGCAGTAACAGATGGTTCGGGTTGAACTCAAAAATCGGTTTAGATTCAGGCATAGACTGTCCGCTGGCTTCAAGGATTTTGCGCATCTGCACACCCATGGCGTCCTCGGAAAGTACCAGGCAGGCAGGAGACTGGGTCAATCTTTTAGAAGGCCTGACTTTGTCAACCTTGTCACCTAGAACAGCTGCGATGCGTTCAACTAGCGGATGCTTCTCGTCTTCTTCTTCGTTTTTGTCATCGTCTTCACTGGCATTTTTGTCTTCGCCAGGCAAGCTCACATCGCCGCGCATCACATCAACAAACTGGACGTCGCCGTATTGCGTCAGCGAACTCATCAACCACTCATCAATGCGGTCAAACATCAGCAACACTTCGATGTCGCGGTCTTTAAACATTTCCAGGTGCGGGCTGCGACTGGCGGTTTCGTAGGTTTCAGAACAGATGTAATAGATCACATCCTGTTCTTCGCTTTTGCGCTCGAGATAGGTATCCAGGCTGACCATCTTGTTAGCACCCTCACCTTTTGTGCTGGCGAATCTCAGCAGTTTGGCCAATGCTTCCCGATTAGCAAAGTCTTCCCCTGCCCCTTCTTTCAACACTTCGCCAAATTCGTCCCAGAAAGTCTGGTATTTTTCCGGTTCCTTTTTGGCCATGGTGTCCAGCATGTTGAGCACACGTTTGGTCAAAGCGTTTTTAATTGAAGTGACCCGGTCATCTTCCTGCAGTATCTCGCGGGAGACATTCAGGGGCAGATCATTTGAATCTATAACCCCTTTAACGAAGCGTAAATAGAGCGGCAGAAATTGCTCTGCATCATCCATGATAAAGACACGTTGAACGTAGAGTTTCAGACCCCGCGGAATATCGCGCTGATACAGATCAAAAGGCGCACGCTTGGGTATATACAGCAGGCTGTTGTATTCCAGTTTGCCCTCAACTTTATTGTGGCTCCAGGAGAGCGGGTCTTCAAAGTCATGGGAAACGTGTTTATAGAACTCAGTATATTCTTCGTCAGAAACTTCGCTGCGAGGCCGCGTCCATAACGCCTGAGCTGAGTTAACCGCTTCAAAGGCGGCTACTTTTTCTTCAGCGTCCTGGGCGTCATCAGTTTCTGCCGATAGCTGTTCCAGCATGCGCACAGGCACACCAATATGGTCAGAATAGCGCCGTACCACTGAACGCAATCGATAGTCTTCAGCAAAATCCAGCGCGTCATCCTTTAAATGCAGCGTGACGGATGTGCCGCGCTGGGCGCGCTCAATTTTCTCAATATCGTACGCGTCTTCACCGGCTGAACGCCACAACACACCCTGATCAGCGCCTGCTCCCAGGGTAGCAACCTCGACTTCATCAGCCACCATGAAGGCGCTGTAAAATCCGACACCAAACTGGCCGATGAGCTGGGCGTCTTTGGCCTGGTCCCCCGTCAGATGTGACAGAAACTCGGCGGTGCCCGATTTGGCAATTGTGCCGAGGTTGGTAATCACCTCTTCATAGGTCATGCCGATGCCATTGTCGGTAATCGTGAGCGTCTTGGCGTCTTTATCAAAGGTGATGTCGATATGGTAATCAGCATCGTCACCCAGTAATTCGGGATTTTCTAACGCTTTGAATCTCAGCTTATCAATGGCATCTGAGGCATTGGAGATCAGCTCGCGTAAAAATATTTCGCGATTGGAATACAGCGAGTGAATCATCAGCTTCAGCAGCTGTTTCGCTTCGGTTTGGAATCGATGAGTTTCCACAGTGGGTTCAGAAGTAGCTTCGCTCATAACACTCTTTTTGGCAGTTTTGATGGCTGCTAGATGGGGATAGATTGGGAAAATTCAAGGCATGGGCACACGCGATGTTGTGCCCTGCCTCTGACGTTACCTGATTGGTACGTCACATAGTTAGGACCAGCCGGTTACCTCAGCCAGAGCGTCGCCGATTTCAGCCAGGCTGCGTACTGTGCGCACGCCGGCATCTTCAAGCGCGGCAAACTTCTCATCTGCGGTACCTTTTCCGCCAGCGATGATCGCCCCCGCATGGCCCATACGTTTCCCCGGAGGGGCCGTCACGCCTGCGATGTAGCCAACAATGGGCTTGGTGACATTGGCTTTGATGAAGGCCGCTGCTTCTTCCTCAGCTGTGCCGCCGATTTCTCCGACCATGACAATGGCTTCTGTATCTGGATCTTCCTGAAACATTGTCAGAATGTCGATGAAGTGGCTGCCAGGAATAGGATCGCCACCAATACCGACACAGGTGCTCTGGCCAAAGCCACGATCCGTAGTCTGCTTGACGGCTTCGTAAGTCAAGGTGCCTGAGCGCGACACGATGCCCACTTTACCCGGCAGATGAATATCACCTGGCATGATGCCAATTTTGCATTCTCCAGGTGTAATCACACCAGGACAGTTTGGTCCGATCATACGTGCGTCACTGATATCCAGGCGTGCTTTGACAGCCAGCATATCCAGGGTTGGAATGCCTTCGGTGATACACACGATGAGTTTGATGCCCGCATTCAGAGCTTCCAGGATTGAATCTTTACAGAAGCTCGCAGGTACATAGATCACGGATGCGGTAGCGCCGGTGGCGGCAACCGCGTCAGCCACGGTGTTAAAAACCGGCAGACCGAGATGGGTTGTACCACCTTTCCCGGGTGTAACACCGCCTACCAGTTGCGTGCCATAGGCAAGCGCCTGTTCGCTGTGCAGGGTACCTTGTGACCCGGTAAAACCCTGACAGATAACTTTGGTGTTCTTGTCAATTAATACGCTCATGCCTGACCTCCTGCTGCTGCAACTGCTTTTTGCGCCGCATCTACCAATGATTCGCCAGGAATAATATTCAAACCGCTGTCGGCCAGCGTTTTTCTACCGAGCTCAGAATTATTGCCTTCAAATCGAACAACCACGGGTACATTGACACCAACTTCTTCAACTGCACCGATAATGCCTTCGGCAATAGTTGCACAGCTGACAATGCCGCCAAAGATATTGATCAGCACCGCCGTAACAGCTTCGTCAGACAGGATAATCTTAAATGCCTCGGCAACCGCTTCTTTAGTCGCGCCGCCGCCTACATCAAGGAAGTTTGCCGGGTTACCGCCATGCAGCTTCACCAGGTCCATCGTGCCCATCGCAAGCCCGGCGCCATTCACCATACAACCGATGGTGCCGTCTAACGCGACGTAGTTAAGGTTAAACGCGGCTGCCTGAGCTTCGCGTTCATCTTCCTGACTCGGATCATTCATCGCAGCGAGTTTCGGCTGTCGGTACAGCGCGTTACCGTCGATGGTGACTTTCGCGTCCAGGCAGTGAATATTGCCTTCGCTGGTCACGACAAGAGGGTTGATCTCCAGCAGCGCACAATCGGATTCTTCGAACAGCTTAGCCAGCCCCATAAACAGGTTAGTAAACTGACGCACCTGGGCACCTTCCAGGCCGAGCGCAAATGCCAGTTCCCGACCCTGATAAGGCTGGGCACCCACAAAGGGGTCGATGACTGCACGGAGGATTTTCTCAGGCGTTTCTTCGGCGACGGTTTCAATTTCGACACCGCCTTCTGTTGAAGCCATAAAGATTACCCGGCGGCTGCCACGGTCCACAACTGCACCCAGATACAACTCCTGGTCAATGTCAGTGCAGCTTTCTACATAGATTTTGCTGACGGGCTGACCATTTTCATCTGTTTGAAAGGTGACCAGGTTTTTGCCGATCCACTGCTCTGCAAAGGCTCTGATTTCGTCATAAGAGTCGGCCAGTTTAACGCCGCCGGCCTTGCCTCGGCCGCCAGCATGGACCTGCACTTTGACAACCCAGCGGTCACCGCCAATTTTTTTGGCTGCTTCAACAGCTTCCTCTGCAGTATCTACTGCGTAGCCTTCTGAGACGGGTAAGCCGTATTCGGCAAATAGCCCCTTGGCCTGGTATTCATGTAAATTCAAAGTATGTCCCCTCCTGGATGGACCGGTAGTTTACGTATAATGACTATTTCTTCTTGCGATTGATCATATGAATGGCATGCCCGGCAACACCCAGGGCGGCTTCATGCACCGATTCGGATAATGTCGGGTGAGCAAACATGATCAGACCTAAATCTTCTGCGCTGGCGTCGAACTCCATCGCGATGACCGCCTGGGCTACTAATTCTGAGGCTTGCGGTCCCAGAATATGGACACCGAGGATACGGTCACTGTCCGCGTCGGCAATCACCTTAACGCTTCCCTGGGTATCATTAGCAGCCAGAGCTCGACCGCTGGCAGCAAATGGAAAGCTGCCCACTTTATAGTTGTCACCGTCAGCTTTGAGCTGTTGCTCTGTTTTGCCCACCCAGGCAATTTCGGGATGTGTATAAATAACACTGGGAATTGTATCGTAGTTTACCAGGGGCTTAAATCCGGCGATGCGTTCAGCCACCATCACACCTTCTGCGGTACCTTTGTGGGCCAACATCGGGCCACGGACAACATCTCCCACTGCATAGACATTTGGCGCATCAGTCTGGCAGAGATCATTAACGTAGAGGAAACCACGTTCGTCCAGATTGACGCCACAGTCGGGCGACAGCAGGTCTTCAGTAAACGGCCGTCGACCAACAGCAACGATAAGTTTATCGACCTGTAGCGACTGATCGCCTTCACTGTCCTGATAACTCACTTCAACCGCACCATCTTTAACTTCGGCGCCAATCACTCGTGTGCCCAGGCGAATGTCTAAACCCTGATTGGTGAGAATCTTTTTAGCATCTCGTGCGATGCGCTCATCTGCCATGGGCAGGAATTCTTCCAGTGCTTCCAGGATCACAACTTCAGCGCCCAGACGCTGCCATACGCTGCCGAGTTCCAGGCCGATGACACCAGCACCAATGACACCCAGACGCTTAGGTACCTCGGTGAATTCCAGTGCGCCGGTAGAGTCGACAATAAAGTCTTCTGTAAGCGGTGCGGGTTTGATTGAGACGGGTACAGATCCTGGTGCAAGAATGACATGTTCAGCCTGCAGCATGGATTCATTGCCGTCGTGGTCGGTAAAAGCAACCTGTTTGTTGGCCAGGAGTTTGCCTGTGCCATAAAGTGCGGTGACCCCATTACCTTTGAACAGGCCGGCGATACCGCCGGTCAGGCCTTTCACGACTTCGTCTTTGCGCGCGATCATTTTGGGCACATCCACTTCGACATTACTGGTGGTAATGCCGATGTCAGCGAAGTGCTCTTTCGCCTCAATATACTTGTGTGAAGTGTCTAACAAGGCTTTGGACGGGATACAGCCCCAATTCAGGCAGGTCCCACCCAGAGTGGGTTCACCATCTTTGCCTTTGTCTTTTTCGATACATGCGGTTGATAATCCCAGTTGGGCGCAACGGATTGCTGCAGCATATCCTCCAGGACCGGCACCAATGACAACAACGTCGTACTGTTCACTCATAGCTATAGTTCCAAAAGAATACGTGCTGGATCTTCGATCATACCTTTGATGGCCACCAGGAACTGTACGGCTTCGCGCCCGTCAATCAGTCGGTGATCATAAGACAACGCCAGATACATCATGGGTCGCACCACAATCTCTCCATCTACCACAACTGCGCGATCCGCAATGGTGTGCAATCCAAGAACACCGGTCTGCGGTGGATTCAAAATAGGTGTGGACATCAGCGAGCCAAACACGCCGCCATTGGAAATGGTGAACGTGCCGCCAGCCATGTCTTCCAGAGCCATTTTGCCAGACCGGGCTTTTTCGCCGTAAGCGTTAATCTGGTCTTCGATCTGGGCCAGACTGAGAGCGTCTGCATCGCGCACCACGGGGACAACCAGACCCTTTTCTGTAGAGACGGCAACGCCAATATCGTAGAAGCCATGGTAGACAATATCATTGCCGTCAATGGAGGCGTTTACTGAAGGGAAACGCTTCAGCGCTTCGACGGCCGCCCGAAGGAAAAATGACATGAAACCCAATCGCGTGCCATTGTGCGTCTTCTGAAACTGTTCCTGATACCTCTTGCGCATAGCAACAATGTGAGACATATCAACTTCGTTGAATGTCGTCAGCATGGCTGCGTTGTGCTGCGCTTCGACCAGCCGTTTGGCAATACTGGCACGCATCCGGGTCATGGGAACACGTCGTTCCACGCGTTCGCCGTCAGCGTCCAGGCCGAGCAGGCTATCGTCCATACCTGCCGTTGAAGGTGTCGCTTGTGCAGGTGTCGCTCGCCCAGGTGCTGAAGGCATTTGGGCAACCGCTCTGGCAACATCTTCTTTGGTTATGCGGCCGTCACGCCCAGTGCCGGTAATCGTATCGATGCTGACACCAGACTCAGCGGCGACTTTGCGCGCCGCCGGACTTGCGATTTTATCTTCATCGGACGTTGGTTCACTGCTTTCGGATGCAGTGGACGATTGCGCGCTGGGTTCGTCTGCGGACTCCGATGTTTTGCTCTGAGCGGGTGCAGCGTGTTCGCCTGCCTCAAAGTGTGCGATGACCTCTTCAGATTCGACGACATCACCTTCGGCTTTAAGGACCTCAATGAGCACGCCGTCGTCCGGTGCAACCACTTCTATGACCACCTTGTCCGTTTCAATATCGGCTAACAGGTCATCACGGCTGACGGCCTCTCCAGGCTGTTTATGCCATTGTGCAACCGTTCCTTCGGTGATCGACTCCGGAAATGTGGGGGCCTTGATGTCCATATTGTTTCTTAAGTACCTTTACTTTTTGTTAACCAAACAGCGCGTCATTGACTAACTGCGCTTGTTGTTCGTTGTGAATTGAAGCGTAACCGACCGCCGGCGCCGCATAGGCGTCACGACCAGCATAGGCCAGATAGAGGCTTTCATCTCGGGCCAGAATGGTGCGTCGCAGACGGTGCTGGGTTGAGTACCAGGCACCCTGGTTCATCGGTTCTTCCTGACACCAGACAACCTCTTTGAGGTTCGGATAGGGTTCCAGGGCCGCTGCGAACTCTTCCTCCGGGAAGGGGTAGAGTTGCTCGAGACGAATAATGACAACATTGTCGGCTTCCGCAGCTCTGCGGGCTTCAAGCAGGTCGTAATAGACCTTGCCGCTGCAAATCACCAGCCGTTCAACCTTTTCAGCAGGAATAGGATCTATTTCGCCAATAACATTGCGGAAGTAACCGTCGCACATGGCGTCAAGTGTGGAGACCGCGAGCTTGTGGCGCAGCAGCGACTTTGGCGTGAGCGCAACTAACGGCTTTCTTGTTGGGCGCAACGCCTGTCGTCGCAGCATGTGATACACCTGTGCCGGGGTCGAAGGCACACAAACCTGCATATTATGTTCGGCGCAGAGTTGTAAAAAGCGTTCCAGGCGGGCTGACGAGTGTTCGGGGCCTGCCCCTTCAAAACCATGCGGCAACAGCATGGTTAAGCCGCACAGGCGAAGCCATTTGGTTTCGCCGGAGCTGATGAACTGATCAATGACCACCTGTGCGCCGTTGGCAAAATCGCCAAACTGCGCTTCCCAGACAACCAGCGTATTGGGAGCAGTGGTTGCATATCCGTATTCGAATGCCAGCACAGCTTCTTCAGACAACAGAGAATCGTAAAGGTCAAAAGTCACATCCTCCCGCAACAAATTCAGGGGAATGATGCGTTTGCCTGTTTTCTGATTGTGGTGCGCAGCATGCCGATGGGAAAATGTCCCCACACCAACATCCTGTCCTGTCAGACGAACGGGCACACCCTGATCGATGAGGGTTGCGTATGCCATGGTCTCCGCAAAACCCCAGTTAACCGGCATGGCGCCAGCGGCCATTTTGTGGCGATCTTCCAGAATTTTCTTCACCTGGCGATGGACTGCGAATCCTTCGGGGAGGTTGCCCAGCCGCCCCGACAGCTCTTTAAAGCGGGCCTTGTCGAAGGTGGTATCTGCCACGGTGCGCCAGTCATGTCCCAGGTACGGGGTCCAATCGACAAACAGCTTTTCATCCGGTTCCTGCACGATGGACAGCGCTACATTTCCACCAGACTCAAGTTTCTCGCGATTTTCTTCCGCTAACGCGTCCGCTTCCGCGGTGCTCACAATGCCCTGCGCAATCAGTTTCTCTACATACAGTGTCCGCGTAGTCGGATGAGATCTGATTTTCTGATACATCTGAGGCTGAGTTTTCATGGGTTCTTCAGCTTCGTTGTGACCGCGACGACGGTAACAGACAAGGTCGATAACCACGTCAGTGCGAAACTGCATCCGATAGTCAGCTGCCAGCTGGGTGACAAACACAACAGCTTCCGGATCGTCGCCATTAACGTGGAAAATCGGCGCCTGCACCATTTTAGCCACTTCGGTGCAGTATTCGGTGGATCGCGCATCGATCTGCCGATGGGTAGTGAAACCAATCTGGTTATTGATGATGATATGGATGCTGCCGCCGGTTTTGAATCCGCGGGTTTCGGACATCTGGAAGGTTTCCATGACGACTCCCTGGCCTGCAAAGGCTGCATCACCGTGAATGATGATCGGCGCAACCTTACCACCTTCGTAGTCCCGGCGGCGGTCCTGACGCGCCCTTACCGAGCCTTCAACTACCGGATTAACAATTTCCAGGTGCGAGGGATTGAACTGCAACGCAAGGTGCATTTCGCCACCAGGGGTCATAACGTTTGAAGAAAAACCCTGATGGTATTTGACGTCGCCGGAACCTTCGTTGCGGGTGACTCTGCCGTCAAATTCATCAAACAGGTCAGAAGGATTTTTTCCCAGCACGTTAACCAGGACATTCAAACGACCGCGGTGTGCCATCGCGATGACAGCTTCAATAACGCCTTTGGAGCCGAGTCGCTGCAACAACTCGTGCAACATCGGGATTAGGCTTTCACCACCTTCGAGACCAAACCTTTTTGTGCCGGGATAACGACGGTGCAAATACTTCTCGAGACCTTCAGCAGCGCCAAGTCGTTCCAGAATCGCGTGTTTCTGTTCTGCTGAAAAGTTCGGGCGGCTGCGCGCTGTTTCCAGTCGCTGCTGCACCCATAGCTGTTCTGATGCATCTACGATATGCATATATTCTGCGCCGATAGAGCCGCAGTAGGTGCTTTCCAATGCGTCAACCAGGTCGCGCAGTTTGGCGCTGCCTTCACCGTAGTGGAAAGTTCCGGTTTGGAACGTTTCGTCCAGATCAGCAGGCGAAAGATGATGATAGGCCAGATCGAGGACCGGCATGCTGGGTCTATCCATCATGCCCAGCGGATCAATGTTGGCTTTTTTATGACCGCGGTGACGATACGCAGATATCAGATCCTGCACACGCATCTGCTTCGCTTCATGCTCCGTGGAGATGTGGGTAGACACCTTCTCAGGTTTGGCTTTGAGACGGTTACGACCGAGCCGTTCAAAGTGGTTTTCCACAGCTAAACGAGGCGTGTCTGGGCCAACAACACCTTCTACCATGGGCAGCTGCTCAAAATAGCTGCGCCAGTTGGTTGGTACAGTATTGGGATCGGTCAGGAACGATTCATACATAGATTCGATATATGCAGCGTTCTGGCCACTCAAGTGAGAACTGCGCAGCATGCGCTGCATGTATGTGTCGCTCAAAATTCAGCCTCCGTCAGGCACTTTGCGCGCCTGGGTCAAAAACACAAAAGCCCGTCACGACACCATCGCGACAGGCTTGTTGTTCGGCATTGTCATTCATCAACGTCAGCCGTCTCAGGTACCTCCTAGGTACCCTGTTGCATAAGCATAGTGCGGATCTTACCAATCGCACGGGTTGGGTTTAATCCTTTCGGGCAGACGTTGACACAATTCATGATGCCACGGCAGCGAAATACACTGAAAGGGTCATCCAGATTGGACAGGCGTTCAGCAGTGGCTGTGTCCCGCGAGTCTGCCAGAAAGCGATAAGCCTGCAGCAGTCCTGCCGGGCCAATAAATTTGTCAGGGTTCCACCAGAAAGATGGGCAGGAGGTTGAGCAACATGCGCACAAAATACATTCGTAGAGTCCGTCCAGTTCTTCACGGTCTTCCGGCGATTGCAGCCGTTCTGTGGCAGGCGGCGGTGTGTCGTTGATCAGGTATGGCTGTATTTTTTCATATTGTTTGTAGAACTGGGTCATGTCGACAACCAGATCACGCACGACGGGCAAACCAGGTAGCGGGCGCAGAATCAGCTTGTTGCGTTTCACGACAGTTGAAACCGGCGTGATACACGCCAGACCATTCTTGCCGTTCATATTCATACCGTCTGAGCCGCACACACCTTCACGACACGAGCGACGATAGCTCAGCGTTGGATCCTGGTCTTTCAACAGCGCCAGCACGTCCAGGACCATGAGGTCTTTGCCGTCTGGCAAGTCCACTTCCATGTCACGCATGACGGGCACGTCATCTACATCAGGATTGTATCGATAAACACTTACTTGCATGTTTTAGCGTCCTTAAACGATCTAGTAAACCCGTTCTTGGGGTTCAAATGTGGGTACTGTTTTGGGTTCGAAGTTCACGCCCCGTTTAGCTAACCGCTTGTCTTCAGGGAAATATAATGAGTGACACAACCAGTTCTCGTCGTCACGGGTCTGATAATCATCCCGCGCATGAGCGCCACGGCTTTCTTTGCGGCCTTCTGCCGCCAGTGCGGTGGCTTCGGCTACTTCCAGCAGATTGTCCAGCTCCAGTGCTTCCAGGCGGGCGGTATTAAACGCGTTAGATTTATCCGGCAGATGTGCTTTGCCGATGCGCTCGCGCAATTCTTCCAGTTTGGTGACGCCAGTCTGCATATGCTCTTCGGTGCGGAAAACGCCGAAGCTGTTCTGCATGACGGTCTGTAATTCTTTCTTCAGGCTGGAGACCGATTCGCCACTACTTGACTCATTCCAGCGATTCAGCCGCTGCATAGCCATTTCCAGATCAGAATCACTGGCGCTGCGATAGGAGACACCCTGACGCATCACTTCCTCTATATGCATGCCCGCAGCGCGACCGAATACAATGAGGTCAAGCAGCGAATTACCGCCCAGACGATTAGCACCGTGTACAGATACACAAGCCGCTTCACCTGCTGCATAAAGCCCATCAATCTGCACATCTTTGCCGCTGCTGTCCTGGGTCAGAGCCTGACCGCTGACTTGTGTGGGCACGCCGCCCATCATGTAGTGACAGGTAGGTACCACGGGAATCGGTTCTTTCACCGGGTCAACGTGGGCAAATGTTCGAGACAGCTCCAGAATGCCAGGTAAACGGCTGTTGAGCACTTCTTCACCCAGGTGATCAAGCTTCAGGAAGACATGGTCGCCTTCCGGTCCGCAACCTCGTCCTTCGAGAATTTCGATGACCATGGAACGGGCGACAACATCACGTCCGGCAAGGTCTTTTGCATTTGGTGCATAACGCTCCATGAAGCGCTCGCCGTCTTTGTTGATCAGGTAGCCGCCTTCACCACGACAACCTTCGGTAACCAGAGTGCCGGCACCATGGATGCCGGTGGGGTGGAACTGCCACATTTCCATATCCTGCATCGGGAAGCCCGCACGCAGTGCCATACCTGCGCCATCACCGGTACACATCAGAGCATTTGTAGTTGACGCGTAAATCCGCCCTGCTCCGCCTGTTGCCAATACCGTAGCACGAGACTCCACATATACGGTCTCGCCGGTTTCCATACAGATGGCCACAACGCCGGTGACCACGCCGTCCTGGTTCTTCACGAGATCAACCGCAAACCATTCATTCAGGAAGGTTGTATTTGCGCGGATGTTGCCCTGATAAAGCGTGTGCAGCAATGCATGACCGGTACGGTCAGCGGCGGCACACGTCCGCGCAGCCTGCCCACCTTTACCAAAGTCTTTAGATTGACCACCAAATGGACGCTGGTAAATGCGGCCATTTTCGGTGCGCGAAAACGGTAGTCCCATATGTTCCATTTCAAAAACGGCCTGGGGCCCCTCCGAACACATGTATTCGATCGCGTCCTGGTCACCGATATAGTCGGAACCTTTGACGGTGTCATACATATGCCAGCGCCAGTCGTCATTAGGATCATCACTGGCAATTGCACAGGTGATACCACCCTGCGCCGAAACGGTGTGCGAGCGTGTTGGAAAGACCTTGGAAATTACCGCGGTTTTCAGTCCGGACTGGGCCAGCTGCAGGGCCGCACGCATACCTGCGCCACCGCCACCGACAATCACACCGTCGAATTCCATTTTTCTTAGAGTTGTCATGCTTGTTTACCTAAATTCCTAAAAACGCTCAAAACTGCCAGATGAGTTGCAGTGACCACACCATATAGACGAACAACACCAGCATGCAGATCATCTGGTAGGACACGCGTACAACCGTAGCGGTACCACCGATGTGTGCTTCTCGCAGATAGTCTGTGCCGATGGTCCACATGCCCACCCAGGCGTGCCCCGCGATCGACAGTGCGGCCAGAGTGCTGAACAGCTGCATCGGCGTTGACCAGAAGAAAGTGGTCAGACTTTCATAAGTGATGGGTGTCGCGCCGAGGAAAAAACCCAGCAGACAGAAGGTGTAGGCTGCCAGGATGAACGCAGTGGCACGCTGAATAACAAAATCTGCCAGCCCGCTGCGCGTGAGGCTCATGACCTGAGTTACCATAACAAAGCTCCTAAAACAGCTGTGATGACAATGGTTAAGACGATGACCAGCCACGCGCCAATCTGCGCAGCTTTTATCGAATCACCAACATGAAAATCGAGCATCAGGTGTTTTAACCCTGCAACGATGTGGTAGACCAGCGCCAGCAGTAACCCCATGAGAATGAATTTTGCCAGCGGCTGCTGCAGGAGTTGCACAGATTCGGCAAACCCCGCCGGAGAGCTCAAAGCCAGATCAAGGGCGTAAAAGCTGAAAGCGACACCGACAAATAACACCACACCGGTAATCCGGTGGGTGATAGATGTAATGGCAGCTACCGGCCACGACATTTTAAGCAAGTTTAAATTGACAGGGCGATCTGTCTTCATTGATTGAATCCCAAGTTTAATCCGCGGTACGTGCCGTAAGAGCAGGTTTGTACTGGTCGAACACGTGTTTCTATTTTGTACCTGAAAGGGCCAACGGCGTGATGCGAGTTCAAATTGCTTGTTAGTCTCTGGTTTCGAGTCGCAACATCTCTTTGCGTTTACCCAGATAGCAAACCGAACTCCGACTTTATAGCTGGCAGTGCAGGCGCCCGTATTCTAGTGGTCTTGCAAGGCAATGCCAAGGCAGCATTGATATTACATTGGTCTATTTCACTTCGGCCGCTGACCAGCAGGACCTAAACCATCCTGCAGATCCTGTGCTAGGATGCGCGCCGCTCGCTTAGACAGGATTGCTATGCATGACGCCCCGAATGATCAGACCATTTATTTTACTGCCCCTGATGCTGCACGCGGCCGGAGGTTACACAGATGTTGCCGATACACCTGCGCCGATCCTGGTTGAGGCGGATGCGTTTCACGTTGATCTCCAGACCGAGCAGGCGATCTGGCAAGGCAATGTGAAGGCCACTCAAGGCAGTACCACGTTTCGCGCAGGATCGCTGACACTTAATCTTGAGCAGTTGGGGCCCCAAGCCGGAGTATCTGCAGCGCCAAGCGACGGCGCAGAAGCACCACAAGACGCTTATCAGCTGAGCGCTGATCGGCTCAGCTATGACCTTGAAGCAGGTCAGATTTCCGGCAGCGGCAACAGCGAACTGCGGCGCGGACTGGAATTGATTCGGGCAGAGGACATTGTTTATCAGGTCGAGCAGCAAAGGGTACAGGCGCGCCCCGCTGCCAATGGCCGGGTGCAGGTGCAATTTTTAAGTGCACCAGGGCTAACCCTGTTTCCCATCAGTGCCGCTGACTGAGCGCTTATAAACAGCCAACAAAATTCCTCAACATCAACTAGTGATTGACCAGGCAACGGTGCTTTAATAGGCTGCGTATCCCGTCGGGCGGTTGACACTATCGCAGGCGTTCGGGCTATAGATCCCGTAACCAGGATCTCGTAAACAGAACAAAGGCTCATTGTCAGAAAACAAAGGCAAAAAGCCAAAATACAAAGGCAAAAAGCCACTAAACGCAAAAATCCGATAGTTTATGCTATCCAGCAGGTGCCAGGGTGTCTGGTCTGCTGCTTTAATCTGGGAGGATACATGGCGAATAAAGCCACCAAGACCGCAACGCTTTCAATAGAGGGCGTCGATACACCGATAGATCTACCCATTTACTCGGGTGTAGAAGGTCCAGATGTCATTGACGTTGGCAAGCTGACCTCACAGGGCTATTTCACCTACGACCCTGGTTTTGTCTCTACCGCTTCCTGCGATTCAGAAATAACCTACATTGATGGTGACCAAGGCATTCTGCTGCATCGTGGCTATCCTATTGATCAACTGGCCGAACACTCCAACTACCTGGAGTTGTGCTATCTGTTGCTCAATGGAGAACTACCCAGTGCTGCAGAGAGTGAGACTTTCGTAGATACGATCAAAAATCACACGATGGTGCATGAACAGCTGCGCAACTTCTTCCAGGGGTTCCGTCGTGATGCTCACCCGATGGCCATCATGTGTGGCGTCACCGGCGCGCTGTCGGCGTTCTACCATGATTCTCTGGATATCGATAATCCGGAACACCGCCGCATTACCGCGCATCGTCTGATCGCAAAAATGCCTACCCTGGCGGCGATGAGCTATAAATACTCCCTGGGTCAGCCGTTTATCTATCCTCGCAATGACCTCAGCTACGCGGAAAATTTTCTGCATATGATGTTTGCCACCCCGTGTGAGGAATACAAAGTCAGTCCAACCCTTGCCAAGGCTATGGATCGCATCTTTCTGTTACATGCGGATCACGAACAGAATGCCTCGACTTCTACAGTTCGCCTGGCAGGCTCCACCGGGGCCAACCCTTTTGCATGTATCGCCGCAGGAATTGCAGCGTTATGGGGGCCTTCACATGGCGGCGCCAACGAAGCTGTGCTCAACATGCTTGATGAGATTGGCAGCGTTGATAATATCGACAAGTACATCAAGAAAGCCAAAGACAAAGATGACCCGTTCAGAATCATGGGTTTTGGTCACAGGGTGTACAAGAACTACGACCCTCGCGCCAAAGTCATGCAGCAGACCTGTCATGAAGTGCTCGAAGAGCTGGGTGTGCAGGATGATCCGATTCTGGAAATGGCCCAGGCTCTGGAGAAAATCGCCCTGGAGGACGACTACTTTGTCAGCAAGCGCCTCTACCCTAATGTTGATTTCTATTCAGGCATCATTCTCAAAGCGATTGGTATTCCAGTGGAAATGTTTACGGTCATCTTTGCGACCGGACGTACACCTGGATGGATTGCGCATTGGAACGAGATGATCAGCGGACCTTACAAGATCGGCCGCCCCCGACAGCTTTACAAAGGTTACGCCCAGCGGGACTACAAAACCATCGATAAGCGTTAAATCAGCCCTGTGTAAATGAACGGTCTGCGCTTGAGCAGATCGTTCAATCCTGAGTAAAACGACGTAGCAGACTGGACGTATCCCAGCGCCCGCCCCCGAGCGCCTGCACATCTGCATAAAACTGATCGACAAGCGCGGTAAGCGGCATGCGCGCACCCAGCCCATCACCCGTGCGTAATGCGATACCCAGATCTTTACGCATCCAGTTGACTGCAAAACCAAAATCGAACTCATCACGAGCCATGGTGGCTGCGCGGTTGTCCATCTGCCAGGACTGGGCAGCGCCTGCGGAAATAACGTCTACCACCTGCTCCACGTCCAGATCCGCTCGCTGGGCAAAGTGAACACCCTCAGCAAGACCCTGCAGGATGCCTGCAATGCAGATCTGGTTGACCATTTTGGTCAGTTGCCCGGCACCGGTAGGGCCAAGCAAGGCGGTCTTTTTTGCATAGGTGTTGAACAGTGGCTGGCAGCGCGTGAAGTCTTCTGCCAGCCCCCCTACCATAATCGTCAGGGCGCCGTTTTCGGCGCCAGCCTGACCGCCGGAAACCGGCGCATCAAGAAAGCCGATATCGAGCTGCCCTGCCCGATCAGCCAGTTCTAAAGCCAGTTCCTGAGATGCGGTTGTGTGATCAACCAGAACGCTGCCGGGTGACATGCCTGCTAACACGCCGGTATCACCGTAGCTGATCGAACGAACGTCGTCGTCGTTACCGACGCACATAAATACTACGTCTGCGTCTTCAGCAGCTGCCGCCGGGCTGGAGGCGGTTTCCAGCGAATGATCGACTTCTGCCTGATACTGGCCATGCCAGCGCTCGGCTTTGCTTGCGTCACGATTAAAAACCGTTACGCGATAACCGTGCCGAGCCAGGTGTCCGGCCATAGGATATCCCATCACCCCCAGACCTATGAAGGCGACGGTTTCTTCGTGGACGAGGTTGCTGCTCATTGGTGTAAGGCCTGTTGTTCTATGCTTGGCCCGTATTGTGACGAGCCTGAGAGCAGATATACAGCCCTACCCGGTTCAGCAAACCCCGTCTTATCAGGCAGGGTCTGCTGCAGACTTGTTGACTAGAGGATAACGGAATCTTTCGCGAAGCCTTCTTCACTTAATGTGAATTTCAGGGCTTTGAGGGCGTCAACCTGAATCTGGCGCACACGTTCGCGAGTCAGACCTATGGCTTTGCCCACTTCTTCGAGGGTAGCAATGTCATGGCCGCGCAGACCAAATCGTCGGCAGATCACGTCGTGAGATTTTTCCGGCAGCATATCGAGCCAGCGGTCTATGTGTCCTTTAAGCTGTTCGTTTTGAACCAGTTGCCAGGGATCGTTGTCACAATCGCCGCCAACGGTTTCCCAGCTGCCGCGATCGGGTTCCAGCACAGATATCTCGGTGCAGGCTATGTTGTCGGAAAGTTCCATCAACTTGCGGACATCGTCTGCAGGCTTGTTTAGCAGTTCTGCAACATCTTCAGGTGTAGGTTCCTGATCAAGCTTCTGTGACAGCTCTCGGGCTGCGCGCAGATAAGTATTTAATTCTTTGGCTATATGAATCGGTAAACGGATGGTTTTTGCCTGATTCATCAAGCCGCGTTCTACGGCCTGTCGGATCCACCAGGTAGCGTAAGTTGAAAATCGAAAGCCTTTGCTGGGGTCGAATTTTTCCACAGCGCGGATCAGGCCGAGGTTGCCTTCTTCGATCAGGTCAAGCAGCGGCAGGCCGCGATTGAGATACCGACGTGCAATCTTTACCACCAGGCGAAGGTTCGCCTCAATCATCTGGCCGCGGGCCTGCATATCGCCTTTCTGGACCTTAACAGCCAGCTGCTTCTCTTCATCAGCAGAGAGCAGGTCAGCACGACCAATCTCGCCCAGGTAAATATCAGTGGCGTCGCCGAGTTCTTTTACTCTCTTGGCTGCCGCCCTGGGTGGCTTGGCCTCTGGGATAGGAGAAATTTCTTCTACCTGAAACCATTCGTTTACTTCTTTCTCATCAACTATTTGTGTAGCTTCGACGTACATCACGTGCTCCGTTTCGTGTGTGGTACAGATCCGTTAGTCGAGAGCTGATAATCCACATTCACGCAGAACATCGTCCCGCGAAAATGGTTTTTTCAATAAAACAGATGCGCCCGCTTCTAAAACCCGATGTTCGAGTTCTGCGCTGTGATGGCCAGTCATGGCGACCACTTGTGCATGGCGAGTTGCCGGATCTGCTTTGATAGAGCGACAGACGTCCACGCCATTCATACCCGGCATCATGATATCCAGCAGCACTATTTCAGGTTTATGTTCCTGAACCATGCGTCCGGCTTCAAAACCGTCCGCTGCGCTGAAAACCTGAATGTCATCAACCGAAGTCTGAAGTAAGGCCACTAAGTAGTTGTTTAATTGACGATCATCGTCAACTACCAGGATCCGACGTTGACTATTTGGCAAAGCGATACCGCGCGCCCTGGCGAAGCGTTCCACTTCTTCCATAGTAAATCGTCGATGGCCACCTGCGGTGGTTTGAGCTTCCAACAGGCCTTTCTGCGCCCATTGTCTAACAGTGATCGGTGAAACCAGCAGCAAACCCGCAACCTCGGTAGGTGTTAGATAATTTGTGTGTTCACCGGCCATTGTTGTACTCAATCTCCTAACTCTTGATTATCTTCTCTCAAAATCCTGACAAATTCGATGAAAACGTTTGCCCGTCGTTCGTTTGTCGTTGCGGGTTAATCGGTTTAATCGATTCGTTGAAAGAGAATCTAATCGGTTTAATCGGTTAAGACTACAACTAATTTGTTATATAGCGTTGCCTTTGCGGAATATTCAGCTATATGAGACTTTGCCAGAGACGCGTTTACGTCTACCGGCACGTACGTCTTCCAAATTTTTCTCTATAGCTTTCAGATAGTTAGGCATGGTTTTGTGGTGTTCAGGCGAAATCATGACCTGTATCCCGTCGGGGTTTTTCAAGCGCGAAGAAAACCAGCCGTCTTCATAAAGGCCTTCACCAACAGCCAAAATATCGTCGTTTTTGCTACCAAAACCGACAATTGAGAGCTTAGGGTGGCCAAAAACCACCAGGCCAAGGTCCTGGCAGCCCTTTACCAATTGCTCACGAGCATCTTTGATCAACGCAGCCCGGGCCACATAGCCTTCCTCACCCAGATAGTTCAGCACAGCCCAGGCTGCAGCGATCGCGCCGCCGGGACGGGTACCGGCCAGGGTAGGCGTGAACATCTGCCCACATGGCCAGACATCGACGTTGAAAATCTGCGCATCACGCAAACTCTTATCCCGGTACAGTACAGTGCTGGCGCCTTTTGCCGCATAGCCGTATTTATGCAGATCCAGTGACATTGAACTGACTCCAGGCAGCGCAAAATCGTAAGCTTCTATTTCTTCTCCCGGCTGACCTTCCACAACAGTTCGCATGAAAGGATTCAGGTATCCGCCGACACAAGCATCAACATGCAGCCAGAGGTCACGATCCAGCGCCAACTGACTGAGTTCATCGATAGGGTCTATCAGGCCATAGGGAAAACAGGGCGCGGAACCCACCAGCATGATGGTATTGGGTGTGATGGCTTCTGCCATGGCTGTGACGTCGGCACAGAAGTTGTCACTGCAGGGTACGCGAATGACCTTGAGGCCCATCAGGTGTGCGCCCTTGTCGAATGCGGGATGCACTGTATAAGGCGCAACTATCTCTGGCGCGCCTGGCACCGGGGCTGTGGCGGCTCTGGCATCGCGGCAGGCTTTAATAGCCAGCAGGATGCTTTCCGATCCGCCTGACGTCATTGATCCAGCAGCACTGTCAGGCGCGTTCTGCAGAGACAACGCCATATTGACAACATCCGACTCCATTGCCTTCAGGCTTGGAAAGGCACCCGGTCCCAGCCCATTCTCCGCGATGTACATGCCGTAGGCTTCGTGAGCAACCTGCATGACGTCATCACCTGAATGAAAAACGTACACGGACGCTTTGCCATGGCGCCAATCGACATCATGTTTACCCATGTCAGACATTCGCTGCTGTAACTGTGCCCAAGGCTGGCCTTTACTTGGCAAACTGATGCGTGCAGTTGACATGTTTCTCTCCAGATCGAATTTGCCCTTATCATAACCAGATTTGGCGCCGTTGTTGGCTATGAGTACACTGCGCGCTGACATTTTTAAGTAAACAAACCATGCCCGATTTACGTGACCTTCCAGCTGTCGATTTACTGCTCAAAGCCAGTGAAATGACTGCCCTGGTCGATACCCATGGCATCCAGGCTGTACGCGATCAGATCAGAGCGCTGCAATCTGAGATGCGCAGAGCGCGGTCTGTGCCAGGCTGGGCGACCGACGCTTCAGGTTATGTTGAACCTGTCGCGGCAAGTTTGAACACAAGCCGGTATACACCGGTTTTTAATATGACCGGCACGGTGATACATACTAATCTCGGCCGCGCCTTGCTCAGCGAAAGCTTGTGGCAAGAGGTCCAGGCACTTGTTACACGACCGATGAATCTCGAATACAACCTGGCAGAAGGCAGGCGTGGGGACAGGGATGCCATTGTTGAAGCACGCATCTGCCGTCTGACGGGTTGTGAGGCGGCGACAATTGTGAATAACAATGCTGCGGCGCTGATGTTGTGCCTGAATACTTTTGCCCAGGGTAAAAAAGTACCGGTATCCAGAGGTGAGCTGATTGAAATCGGTGGTAGTTTTCGATTGCCTGAATTAATGGCTCGCTCTGGTTGTGAACTACTTGAAGTAGGCACAACTAACCGCACACATACAAAAGACTTTGCCGAGGTGCTCGATCAGGCAGCAATGCTGCTCAAAGTTCATCCAAGCAATTTCTACATCAGCGGGTTTGCACAGGAAGTGGTGGCTGCTGAACTTGCGGAGCTTGCGCAGCAAGCTGACATACCCAGCTGCGTGGATCTGGGCAGCGGTACGCTGGTAGATCTCACACGCTGGGGCCTGCCTGCTGAACCCACACCCCAGTCTGTTCTGAAAGACGGTATCGATCTCGTTACGTTCAGTGGCGATAAGTTATTAGGCGGCGTGCAGGCAGGTATCATTGCCGGTAAAAAGTCTCTGCTGGCGCAGATCAAGAGAAATCCGATGAAACGCGCTATGCGGGCTGACAAAATTACCCTTGCGGTGCTCGATGCCACGCTGAAGCTCTATGAACAGCCTGAAGAACTGCCGCAGCATTTACCGCTGCTCAAAACGCTGACCACAAGCTTAGATGAGCTCCGTGAACGAGGTGATGCGCTGAGGCAGGCAGTACCGAAAGATTGGCATACGGAACTCATAGACAGCGCTGCACAAATTGGCAGTGGCGCCCTCCCTGACAAGACCATTAAAAGCCTGTCTCTTGTACTGTCCCACCCTGATCAATCGGCTGAACAGACTGCGATCACCTTGCGCAGATTACCAACGCCTGTGATCTGTCGCGTTGCTGAAGACAAAGTCTGGTTGGATTTGCACGGAGCCGTTCCGCTGCAAGAGTTGATCCAGCAACTCAAAAATTTAGCCGTATGATTGTTACCCTGGCAGGCCACGTAGACCACGGCAAGACTTCGCTCGTGCGGGCATTGTCAGGCGTAGATACAGATCGTCTGGAACAGGAAAAGCTGCGTGGTTTAACCATAGATCTCGGCTTTGCTTATATCGACAACGGCAGCATTGGTTTTGTCGATGTGCCTGGTCACGCGAAATTTATTCATAACATGGTAGCAGGCGTAGCCAGTCAACAGTTTGCCCTTCTTGTTATTGCAGCGGATGACGGTCCGATGCCGCAAACCCGGGAACATCTCGATATATTGCGGCTGATCGGGTTACGCGGCGGCGCGATTGCTATAACCAAGAGCGATCGGGTCGATGCACAGAGAATTAAAATCTGTCAGGCTGAAGTTGCAGAGCTTGTGACCAACACTTTTCTTGAGTCAGCACCCGTGATCAT